TGGTCACAACAGTGAAGTAAACGGGGATCAGAGTAGCTAGCTGTTTAACAAATTTAAAACCAGAAATGGGAAAACGAGAAATTGAAAATGCCCGGAGGGCGGAGTGTTTTCACACAATTTCGAGTTTTCCCAATTTCCACGAGTGTTTTGATATAACTGTATATCAATACAGAAAAATGTTTTATATATTTTTTATAATATAGCACAAAGGAATATAAAGAAAGAAATTTTACGTGTTGACATTGAGTGATGTCAACACGGCTCTCAGCCAATCAGCGTTCATAATTTACAAATGCTATATTATATTCTTAATTAATGCTTTCCCAACACAATCATGTATTCTATTTTGAATTAATAAGTTCATCAAACACTCATCAAACTTTTAATTTGTTAATCTAGAACTTAAAATGTTCCCAAAATAACAACTCATGACTTCCAACTCTCATCCTCGTTTGATCCGGGGCTTTAGGACCAAATTGGAACCAGGCGTAAAACATAGAATTCCGTAAAAAATTATTCTCAGTCCAGTTTTATATACGTGTTTGTATCCTAGTATACCGTATACCTGGAGGTCCTCGAGGTCCTTGATCACCAGGTGCTCCGTTAGATCCAGAATCTCCTGGAGGTCCAGAACCTCCGTCTTTCCCTGGCCGTCCCTCACCACCCATACGTCCTTTTTCGCCTGGTGCTCCTGGAGGTGCCTGTGGTCCCGCATTACCAGGTTCCCCTACTTCTCCTTTTGATCCATCTGGACCTACTGATCCCTCGTCTCCTTTCCTGCCATTTTCACCAGGAGGGCCGACTGGACCTACAATGAAAACAATTGATAAAATTAATTTAAAAATTATGTTTTATTAATTTAAAATGCTTTATTTCAAATTTCGTTAAATTCATAGTACTTATACTAGCTTAACATTGTAAAGGAAATGTTTAGTGCGAGTTATATAAACTATTCAAGGCGCACATTTTTAAGACTAGAAAAGAAATATTATATGCAATTTCGCCAGAAGTGTTTGTGGTTAATTTGCAGTAGACTGCAGATTTCAATTACAGTGCAAAAATTGTAATTCCATGCGAGAAAGAGGTTCGATTTAATAACTTTTTTAAAACTAGCATCAAACTATCGTTATGGCGAATTTTTTGTTTATTTCTGTCATGTTATTTTCAAAAAAAAAATTGGATGAAAAGTATGTCTTTATCTTACATTATTAACATTTTTTCACGGGTACCTCGAAAACATACTGTTACTAACTGTATACCAAATAGGCAACGTTTCACTGCCAATAGTAATATGTACAGCTTTATGTACGAATTTTAAACCCGCAAAATTATTACCCACCTTCGTCACCCTTTTCACCAGGGTTACTAGGCGCACCTTTCTCTCCCTTTTCACCATTGTATCCTGGAGGACCCACCATACCCTTAGGTCCAGTGTCACCCTTGGCGCCATCTTTTCCCAATTCACCTTTACCACCAGGGAAACCATCACTGCCGTCACCACCTGGAAGATTTTCATGATTGTATAAAGTTCTGGCATTCCATGATGCTGTCAATTCATGTCTGGTCTATAAGTGTGTTCTCACTATACTAACTATTTTTCAGTGGAACCAAATCTTATTGCATTCAAATTATATTCTAGACTAGGGTACCTGCAAGGTAGGGATTGCTGCGGGCATTAAAAGTAAATAGAACTACAGTAAAAAGCCCAAATTATATCAAGCACAGTGATTACTCGCAGCGTCTGGTGAGCTGTGAATGGAACTGAGAAGAAGCAATATACATTGAAATAGCAAGTGTCATGCAAGTATCAAGAGTCATGCAAGCAAAGACCAGGGGTTAAAGGGCAATCAGAGGTGACATATATTAAACATGTGCGTCCCATTGACATACAGGAAATTAAGGATCAGATTTCATATCAAGTCTAATGCTAGGCGCATCTACCACATTTTTAATATATAGACTATATACACAGATTTATCACACTAAGAAACCAAAACTTGATAAAAATATAGAACTGATAGTGGCCAAAGTCCAAAACAAATGTAAGCGTAAGTGGCGTAACATTAGACTTGAAAAAGCTTTAGAAATTCGATAAAAATTCGAAGACTCGAGCGAGTTTAAAATTTGTGTTCTGCGCATAGAAAGCGCGCACGACCACAATTCCATGCGCTTAATAAAATTTAGTTCAAAACCCCCTCTCTGCATATATTAGGCTGCTGCTACGCTCGCTCGCTTCAGGCTCGCTCGCTCTATATATATTCTAAACTAGGGTACCTGCAAGGCAGGGATTGCTGCGGGCATTAAAAGCAAATAAAACTATAGTAAACAGCACAAATTATATCAAGCACAGTGATTACTCGCAGCGACTACTGAGCTGTGAAATGTGAATGGAACTGATAGCAAAGACCAGGGGTTAAAGGGCAATCAGAGGTGACAGATATTAAACATGTGCGTCTCATTGGCATACAGGTAAATTAAGATCAAATTTCATATCAAGTCTGTTTACTGCTAGGCGCATTTTAGGCATTTACCACATTTTATAGACTATATACACAGATTTATGTTATCAAAAATATAGAACTGACAGTGGCCAAAGTCCAAAACAAATGTAAGCGTAACATTAGACTTGAAAAGCTTTAGAAATTCGATAAAAATTCGAAGACTCGAGCGAGTTTAAAATGTGTGTTCTGCGCATAGAAAGCGCGCACGACCACAATTCCATGCGCTAAATAAAATTTAGTTCAAAACCCCCTCTCTGCATATATTAGGTTGCTGCTACGCTCGCTCGCTTCAGGCTCGCTCGCTCCGCAGCAACTATGCTCTCACTATGATCTAACTATATTCTAACTGTATTCTTTATTCCAACTATTTGTTCTAACAATGTTAAGTTCTAACTGTGGTCTATGTTCTAACAATACTCTAAGTACATTCCGACGATTTCTATACACTTACTACACAAGTACATTCTATTTCAGTTAGATAACTGTAACTGAGTGTAACATACGATTTCTAACTACATTCTAACTACATTCGTCATATGCAATAAATGAAAAATAACAAACCTGGTGCGCCTTTTTCTCCCTTTACTCCGTCATCTCCATGTTTACCATCGTTACCATCGCTACCTGGTGCACCAGGATTTCCTGCATCACCTTTCTTTCCAAGAGCACCCGGAGGTCCGGGTTCACCAATACCACCTGGAGGTCCTGTAGGCCCAGGCTGTCCAGGTGATCCCAGCTCTCCCTTTGCACCTTTATCCCGAGCTGTCCCAGGAGGTCCCTGTTCACCCTTATCACCCGGTGGACCATCAACACCTAAAAGTAAAATCGCCTAAATTTGTGGGTTCTGTACTTAATAATTTGAAAGAAGCGTCGCAAATTAGTCAAAGCAACTAAGTTAAACATTTAAAAGAAGACCAAATTGAATTCCAGAAATAACACATTATAAAAAATGATACTAGTTTTGTGCGAACATAAGCATGTGTTTCGGTACAAGGTGGTTTCAAAAACAAGAACGGAGTATAGTACTCCACTCGTTCCTAAATCCATGTTCTAGTGGTTAGACATACAGCCTGGGTACGAGGTTGGTGGTTAGACTGGTTAATTCTTCTTACCAAACCCAAATTTTCGTCCCATGTTCGGAGCAGCCTGCTATCTATAACTAGTGTTTTCGTATGGGTTTTACTTAGCCACTGGTTAGATTTTCGCAAATCCACAGCCGGACTTAAGCCCATTTTCCACTAGACGAATTTGGTCGCGCGAAGCGAAGAACAAATCTTGTCAATGTGATTGGTCAGCGAAGAAGTAGGATTAGTTCCTACTTTTTTACTGTTCGTGCGAACAAATTCGCCTAGTGGAGAATGGGCTTAAGGTAATTCCGCAGTTTTGCATTGCGCACTTTTACTGCGCACATCTTATAACTTATAATTTCATTCATTATACGTGCTGTTTAAAAAAAATCATTTTATGACAATTTTATGTTACTTCAAAACATCTTTGGTTACATTCGTGCAAAGAATTACGTTAAAATCAATGTTTTCAAAAAAGGTATGCAAAAGTGTAGCTAGGGTAATGCCACAATTCCCTAAAAAGATCGGTGACCCCCGTTTTTTAACTGATAATTTATTTCTTTAATGCATTTTACATTTCATATCCGATATTAAAAGAAAAATCATTTCTGGATCTTGAAAAAAAATCCTTTATCAATGCAAGTTCTCAAAGAAAGATATGTAAAGAAATGTGGAAAAGACATTTGTGAATCAGAATGGACCTTTCCCCTTATAACTAAAATTTCGATCTAGACAAAAATTTCATCACAGCTTGAAAGAGCATCACAAAATTAGTAATATTCCAAAGTTTTGTTGCAAAATCTTGTAAAATGCGGATAATATAGCCTTGCGAAGTTTGCCGTTTTTCAGTCATTTTGTATTACAAACGGGAAATTGACATCCGATTCGGGTGTTGGGGCTGCAATTTCCCGTTTGTAATGCAAAATGACTGAAAATTGCAAATTTCGCAAGGCTCTATTTTCCTCATTTTACAACATTTTGTAACAAAACTTTGGAATATTACTAATTTTGTGATGCTCTTTCAAGCTGTGATGAAATATTTGTCTAGACTTGCCTAGATCAAAATTTTGGTTATAAGAGGAAAGGTCTATTGTACACGTTAGTAGTTTCATCAGTGCTCAAAACACAATATTTTTGAAAAATAATTACAAGATAGGTTTACTAATGCAAAATCCGCGCTAAAAACGTCAATAAATATCGGGCTGTTGTGATTTTGCTGTTACGCGTAATGAGCGTCAAGATGGCGTCATATTGGAGTAAAGGTGGTATATTGTGACTGTCATATCTTCTTAACGAGTTCGGTGACCCCGACTTTTTTGTGTGATTTTACTTTAAGTATATCATAAACTCCATGCCTGAGAAGTTTCAGCACATTCTCATTTCGGGAACAATTACTGCGGAATTACCTTAAAGCTGGTTTTCCACTAGCGAATTTTTTCGCGCGAAGCGACCTTTTTCCTTTGTCGGCATCCATTTTACCACGTCTTGCTGACGTAATAATGATACCGACAAAGGAAAAAGGTCGCTTCGCGCGAGAAAATAACGATTTTTTGTTAATAGAGAGCTAGACAAGTGATGTTGTTGTTTTTCAACACGGACGTCCTGAGTTCATAATCGAGCCGTCAAGGGTGGCCGTTCCGAAATCAGACTACATACTCGTGTCTCGCTGGTTATGGGTTAGGTTTGGGTCAGGGTTAATATTGGGATAACAATGATTAATAACTGAATTTTCACACGGAATTAGGTATTTGCATGAATAAATTGATATACATACCATCCTGTCCAGGCTCTCCTCTGTCTCCTGTCGTCCCTACTCCATCAGTACCAACAACACCTTTTGCTCCCTTTTCACCCTTGATACCCTCCTCACCTTTGACACCTATAACATTTCATCCTACTTTAGAGTCTTATCCTTAAAATAGTTTGATAGGTCAAAATATTCGTCCCCGTTTTGTCTCTATGTTGTAGCACATAAACATGCCATTAAACTTCGTTAAGCTTGGTTCATACTAGCAATTTTATCGGCATTTTCTCCTCTTGGCCGACATGAATGACTGGCAATGAAGACACAGTACATATATCATACATCACAGCTTAGTGGGCCTTAGTGGTCCCCTTACAAAAACACTTTATCATCCATCATAGATCGTATTTGCATTCACTCAATCCTATAATTCAGGAAGCCCCCCCCCCAGGAATGGAAAAACCTTCAACAATATCACCAGTGTGAACTCCCGTATATTGCTGCAATTACTAGTTCTAATTTCCTCGTATGACATAACGAGTAGATGAGTTAGGAATGATCTGAGTATAAATACCCTCAACTCATCCGCATGCACTTTCTAGGCCGAAAGTCTGCATTGACGACTTTGCTAAAGTGCCATTACTGGGTTCAATTACTGGGTTCAGTAAGATGTATCAATGTTAATTCTTTCCATTATATGTAGTTGTCTTGCATTTGCTGGCAAATTCAATAAGAGACGTAGTTTAATTCGCTTGCTCCTACAAGGCAAGTGTCCACAGTTCTTGACCGCTCTCAAAAATGTAAAAAGAACTTCTACAAAAGTTCGCATTTTGTACTCGTCGCTACCTATACACTAGACACGCCAATCCACCGTTCAAATGTAAACACGACGAATAATAGTCTAGACGTGACTTACTTCTTCCATCTGCTCCAGGTTCACCAACATTACCAGGTGATCCTTTCTCGCCTTTATCACCTGCTGACCCGTCTTGACCATCTATACCATCTTCACCCGGAGCTCCAGGGGGACCTAAAGAAAATAGTCGCAGGTTTGCATGGCGGTAAATACGAAACTAAAATGAACACGTTCATAATTCACGGTTAAGTTTATAGTTTTATTGTGTTTCATTGTTTATAATCAATCAACCACAGAATAAATACAGTTGATTGGTTTTTGCGTTTAAAAACAGGATGAAACATCCGTGATAGATGTGCTTATATAAATACGACAGCTACACTGGAAAATAATGAATTAATACTATGGAATTTGCGATTGCATCACTACATCCATAATAGTAGCCTACTGTATATCCATATAGTATGGAAATTGCAATTAGTATGAAAATTGGATGTCCATACTATTTTCAATTATATATAAGATCCATACTATTTCCATTGTAAGGATTTTGAAAATCCACTGGTAATCCGTATGATTCGTCTAGGTCTTGACTGTCTCTAGAAAAATCAGAATACTCGGTACTGTAGTTAAAAACGCATTAAACCTACCTTCATTGCCTTCTGGTCCGCGCTCTCCTTTGGACACTGGATTGGCTTTAATGTAGTCAGAACAATCAACTATAAACATATATATATATATTTTTCAAATTTTTTAAATAAAAAATTATATAATAAAAAAATATATTAATGTAAACGTTTAGTAAATAGTCTGGTAGGTTTGTAAGCTTGGTATATAATGAGTAAAAGTTGTTCTCGAGCTTTATTGTATAATTCTAAAGCAAATATATATATATATATATAGCTAATTCAATAAAGGTTGTCCTTTGAAACCTTAAACTCTAAAACCTTAAACCTTAAACTCTAAGCGTGCAAAGCATAATGGGAGCAAAATTTAAGCAGTTTAGAAAGCATATATGGAGCCCATTTCTTGGAGACATGATAAAAATCTCCCTGCAAAAACATTTCACTGACAAACAGCTGCAATAATCAATACTAAGCTTGAAATCAGTGCTCCCTTCATGCTTTGCGCGCTTAGGGTTTAAGGTTTAAGGTTTTAAAGTTTAAGGTTTGCGAAGGACAACCTTTATTGAATTAGCTGTATATATATATATATATATATATATATATATATATATATATATATATATATATATATATATATATATATATATATATATATATATATATATATATATATATATATAACAAGAACAAGAAACAACACAACAGTAACTTACGCACCTTGAGGTCCTTGTGGTCCCTCTACTCCTGTATCACCCTTAGGGCCCTGTGGGCCACGATCACCTTTGTCAGCGGTATCACCCTGAGTTCCTCGCTGTCCAGTATCACCTTCTTCCCCCTTTATCCCTGGAGTTCCATCTCCACCTTGGTCGCCCTAAATATACCGGAGAACACTATATTAGAGATAATAGTCAAAGGTAAACTGAACGTTTTAAACATAGT